GCTACACGTTTTAATATCTCGTCTACACAATACAATTCTTACTCTTTCACTTCTATTCTAAGATTGAGAATAAAAGTCGCAAAGTCGAACATATACGAACGTAAATTATTCATGCAAAATTGTTTCAAGTTTTTAATTAAAGTACCTGTACGTAGTTCTGACAAGAAAATATTTTGCATTAGCCGCATTGAAGTCGAGGTAGAACTAACCGCAACAACTAATGCGGGCTCGTACGTTTGGATGATTTAAAACGCGAACGCGAGGGTGCATCTGTTACTGAAACTGGAAATTGAATGTGTGCGCCAGAGGTTCGCACTTCTCCTCGATCTCGCCTGAACTCATTGTTAGTAGGAGGAAGCGTCATTTCCGCTTATTTCCTTCCAAGTCCGTTGCAACACACCGATTGCGTTCTTAATATTCTAAAGTCTCTTTTAAACTTTTAAACAGGAATTGGTGAGACTTGGATATAAAGCAGCCTTAAAAAAAAGTTCTCTTCTAACAGTTCAGTATGATAGAACAGTAAGCAGAATAGGAAAAAAAGATTTTAGTTGAGAATTTTCCGGATGCTCGAGAGGTGGTCTTTGCAGTACATTCTTATTACGATAGATTATATTTCATTTGAAAGAATAAAACAGCAAAAAGTTACTTTTCGTTGATAATAAAAGTAATTGCAAAATACCGTGTGCATAGTATATACTTTGTATCGCTGTGAAAGCTTAAATAAAATTCCTTTGATCCCGATTAGCCAATGTTCTCGCGTTCTGTTCATTAATAATACGATTTACAGGGAAAATTTAATCAACGCGAAGATTCAATCAGGTTCACTGATAATCGAGATATATCAGCATTATAATCGCGTTGAAATAATCCGTAGCGCATCGGACAAGGCTGGAGTTCAGTTGGAAATAGACGTTGAAAAAGTGACGAACGATAAGGTGTCTGAGACTCGAGTACACCCAATCATGAATTCACGGATCGCGTGTGAGCGACGTAAACCGAGCAGATACAAGTCTCACGATTCAATCTAATTGACGGAACGAGCTATGCTTCGAGCCGTGGCGTCGAATCGAATACGATTCGTTCCCGTCAGATTTAGTATTTATTTAGTTAGTATTTAGTTGTTGGACGGTATGAAACCGCGAGATGGTATCGTCGAAATTCGACGCGAGACACAATTCGAAGCGCAACAAGCGCGATGCAACTCGAGAGCGCCTGATCGTGTTAGTTAATTAATTTTAATGGATCTCCACCGAACGACTGATGCTTCCGGAAAAAATGCAAGAACGATCAAATTATTCTCAGAATACAATGAATAACGTAACGTCGTTATCATGCCAGTCATGGAGATACAGAGGCTGTGAGTGATATATTCCTGTCCGTGTTAAAAGTCTGAGCTGGAACTAATAGAATTTGCAGTTGACGAAATAGCTTAATTTCCGCCGTGGGGAAGGTCATTACTTATATTATATTGAGACACTGGATTAAATCAAACCGTGTTCCGATAAATATTTGTCATAGATTATAGATTATAATAGTATTGATTATACGAGCCTAGTCAGGCAAGTAGTATAGGTCGACCAAGCGGCGTACGCGGTCAGATCAGTAGTATATCCAGAATGAATATTGAATTTAATCAGACAGGCACGGGTCAGTTGAACATCGCGTCGTCGTGGTCAGGCAAGTGGTGTAAGTAGATGAAGCGAGCACTCTATAGTATACATGTATAGACTAATGTGCACGTTCAAGTAGTTCGGATCGATTATGTTCAATCGAATAACGTAGAATTTGTGATACAGTGATTTCACGGTCAATGGAGTCCGCGCGAACGGTTATATCGAATAACGTTACAATTAAAAGGTTAAATTTAAAGCACGGCATTCATGAATATTCGGAGGGATAGCACACATAAAGATTGTTGCTACAAGGAAATATTTAATGTATTCCATTGTATGTCATTCCTTAAATTCTCATCGCGATATCGACAGGTGAAATCGGACTCCTTGCAAACTTCTTGACAGTTCACGTGAAATATACCGCAATGAAATAGAAACAATTTTTAACGGCTGTCAGTCGATCTGAAGAAAAGTTGGATGCAAATCGTTGTGATGTATCAAACCTATTCAATGCTAATACGTTCGACGACGCGTAAATGTATTTATTCGACACTTAATGGGGTTATACCCGGTGACCCTTTTGAAGAAAAATAAAAATTCAACAATATCCATTCGTGGACTAATATTCGTTCCCCGATTCAAAATTCCCTTTGCGTCGAAAGGATTTTTGAAACATTCGAAAAAATTTAATGAACGGCCAGTGATACTGTGTGATATTAAATGCACTGTGGTCGTGCCGGACGAAATTTCAAAGCGACGAAAGGGAATCTGATTATTGCACTGACAAATTGAATCTGTTGCGTTGTACGTCCTAACTGTTAGCTCGAAGCGGTGGAAAATTGCTTGCCTGAAATCTGGCACAAGGTTAAACGTATGAAAAAGGAAACGACAGACGGATAATACTGGCAGATATGGAAATAATTTTCGGTGATACGTCACAATGAAGCGTGATGACGAGCAGCTGGCAGAGGTAATTAACGGAACTGTCCGTTCCCGAAAGGTTAGAACGTGCGCAGTGAATACGAAAGAAGAGAAAGGGGATGAAAAAAGAACGAACAGAGTACGGGGAACCTTTTATGATAAATCGTGGCTATGGAAATGGAATTAACTTGTATCCGCGACCTCGAAAAATTGCGCGTACTCAACGGAGTTGACGACGGTGGTCGATAGTTTCCAGGCGCTTAGAATCGCTTAGGGGAGATAGGATAATTTATGGGGATGGATTAAAATACTTTCTCTTGAACGTCAGACACGGAAGACGTTTATTGATCAAGTGACGTTTATTCGGCGATAATCTTTTTAGGGGATATTTAAAGCGTAGCGTAAAATATTTTAATAAGTTCCAACATTGGCTAGGTGATCGTTCCTGAAACTTAATTAATAAACGTAACGCTGCCGTCCCTGCTAAAAGCGAGATAGTTCACAAGCTCGTTCTCGAGTTGACGTGATTGAAACACGTCGCATTTCGCAATCGAAAAGTCTTAAAAGTCGACAATTTTATCATACCTGATTTAACAAACATTAGTTATTTTATACTTGTCAGGTATAATTAGTTAAATTTACCTGTTTCAATAGAACATGAGAGAGGTTTTTTCGTGAAAGATAAAAAGTTTTTGCTATCGGGGGATATTTTATCGATCTTTCTAAAGCACTTTCACAACTTCAATTTATCTGCACGTTTCCTCGATTGAATTCGTGACGAAACAACTAAAATACGTTTCCTTTGGCAGCCCAGTATCAAAGGAGTGCAAAAGGCAGTAATGAAAGGATAGGCAAGACTAATAAGAGTAAAAAGGACCGCCTCTTGTTTTACGCGGCTGCGCGTGAAATTAAATATCCAAAACTTTCGCGAAACGAGGTCACGCGACGTCTGACGCGGTCTTTTTCGTTGTTCAATCTCTAGTTACGAAACGTTTCCAGGCGAACACATAAATAGTTGATGGGGTACATTCATCAATCAACCGTGACCTTAATTTATAACTCTTCCGAGCTGTCAAGCGTTCTCGTTGATATTCAGATACAAAAAGTGTTGTTTCGTTCTATTTCTGATTATGGTTTTTTACTTTCATGCAATTACTGTATTAAAGTTGTACATTTTCCGATGCCAAGCAATATTCGTGAGAGATTTGAAGAACTCGATTTATCGAGTACTGGGAAAGTTGTCTCATTTTCACAACGAAACCACTCTTTTCACGGAACTCTGAATTCGTACAATTGGCGAATTCACTCGCACTTACATACACACATTTGCGGATTTTTCAAAGATTGAATGCGTTGATATTTGCTTGGCATACAGATTGCAGCGGGAAATTGCATTCAAATATTTACGTATCCGCGGAAATATCCCCGTACGAACGCTCACTCGCTCACCCTCTCTCTTTTCTTCTCCTCTCTATCGTGTATTAGAAACAAATAAACGAAGACAGACTATTAAATTGTGTCGTTGTCGTTGTTCTTCGAACGAACGTAGTAACGCTTCAAATAATTTCCCTTCATGAAATTAATTCCATAGAACCTGAATCTCCTTTTATGAAATTCCATTCTGTTTCACCAAAATTGCAAAACCAAGCTAAAGTAATTTCAACTTTTAAAAGATATGAAATACTTCCCCTGAAATTAGTACACTTATAGTTAATAAATAAATGTCCTTTCTTGTAGAACGAAGTAATTTGGTCGGAAGCTTTTATAAAAGAAAAATCGGGGAAAGTATTTATCGTTGGTGGTGGTTTTCCGACCCCGGAAATTATTCAATCGTTGAGGCCGCCGCTGGTTGACGGACGATTAATTTCAGTGATTTCCTTTTCTACCCGGCTCCGAATAAAGCTGCCAATATCCGAAAAACTAGGCGAGTCATAGGCGGGGTACTCGGTTCGATGACCCGTCCAGCTCGTTAGGTACATCCGACTGACTAAATACATATTCGCCAACGGTTTTTAATTAAACTGTAGCTCAGGAACAAACAGGCTCCCGTCCAAAAGCGAAAAATGACACTTTGCAAATACATCTGGGCACGAATATTTTGGGAAAATTAAACAAATCGTTGGAGCTTGGTAACGCTTTAAAACGATTATAATATCGAGATTCACTGGACACATCTTTTCTTTCATTTCAAAATTCTTCCCCGCTATTTACTTTTGTCTGAATTTTATTTTATTTCTTTGGTTAACTGACTGAGAAGTATTTTATGAACTGGCACGTATACACACACACACAGTTTCTGTACGACGTTGACTTTGAAATCAAAGTCATTTTTCCGCATGTTAGAACAACAAACGTTCAACGAAGCCACGCGCAAAAGATAAAATACGTGTATTACAAAATTCCATTGGGCTTATAAACACAAGAAGTAATCGAACGAAAGTAAATTCTCTTTGAATTGTGTTTCAGGAATTTAACGTTGCCAAGGAACAACACGCGGTGCAACCATGTTCCTCCGTAGTCGTCGAATCAGGTAAGAGATTATCAAACGTGACCACGATCATCTAAGGCGTGGCGGTCTTCTATTCAGTTATTACTATTACGATTCTTTCGTCGCCGCTCGACGTTGATTAATTTCCGTTCGAAGTGGGAGGCTTGCCGCATCAAAGTCGGAGCTACCCGGGCGGCGGCGGCGGCAGCGGTAGCTCGGGAAATACGGGACGATTGTTCACGAGGAACTCGTCGGTGAGCTCGCAGAGCTCATTGGAAGGAGCATCTGGACCATCTTCCAGCCAGCCGCGTTGTTCCTCGACTCAGATGCGATCGTACGGAGCCGATGGACGATACCACCATTATCGCGATCCTCTGCATACTGCTTCGTCTTATCCGCCGAGTAAAAGTTCGAGGTATAATTTAATTCGCAAATTAATTAAGAATTTCGCTCATTACTGTATACAGACACAGCTCGTGTACATTTTTATGCAGTAAACTGAGTAAACGTGAAAATCGATTTTACAATAGTAAATTATTTGGCTCGCGTAATTAGCGTAGACGAAGTGAATTATTATCACTGATTGCTCTTGGTAAAACCATGCCTGCTCGGTTATCTGTGTCTAATAAGTGGCAGTGGATTTAATTCGCGTGCATGGTTTAATATCTTCGGGTTATATCTACGGGCCCAGGATTAAATGTTTCCATTAGAGTTATTAAACGATATCCAACAAACGCCCGAACTTTTGTTAAATCTCCTATGGAATCTTGCTAATTGCACCGAGGCACGATGGCCCGGATTACGAACGACTGTTTGACGAACTTAATATGACAAAGCAAATCCATGCGAAAGTTCGTCGAACTTTGAATTAGATACAGTTGGAAAATTTGACTCGCATATCAATCAACGAGTAAACGACAGAAGATTTCATTTTTTTTTTCACTATTTAAATTGTAAAAATTGTAAATGTATGTAGAAATATTATCGAATTATAAGTATCAAGTATTTCGAAGCCGCAGCCGCAGAGCGTTTCTCCACGTGTACCGCAAGAGCTTCCCGCTGTCATAAAAATAGATAAACTGCAATTAGAATTTAAAATAATCACCCAGGATCGGTGCTTCATATTTAATATTACTAGATAGTCGCAAATATTTACATGCATCGTGCACTCGAACCACGCAGATCTCCGTCACCTGGCCGCGCGGCATCGCTGGATGCACGTTACGGGAGCCCAGTCAGTTGTTCCGGGAGTCCTCTGAGCAGTAATGCATCACCCTCTCAGAGCTCACTGTCGTCCCTGGCAACAGGTGTGAGTTCTTCCTGTGGTGGTTCCACGATAAGCGTTACTCACGGAATTTCCAGATCAGCTGGCCGAAGTCTCTCCCCCCTTCTTATTCCACCGTCGCGCATTCCCGGAAGGTGAGACCTGTCACGTACTCGAGCGAATCAGATAGCCGTAACGAGTAGGTAACGAAATGAGAATTCATTACACAAGATATACACTGATTTCATGGCTTGATTGCGCATGGCTGGGAAAATGTAATATTCATGTTTATCTTTAAGTAAAATTGACGAATCGTTACGCGTCATAAATCAGAATACTGACTACGGCCAATCAAACTTTAATCCAAATACCTCGCGTTCCATTGAATGGAATATTTTCTTATATAACAGCGAGAGTGGACCACTTCCGCCAGCCTCACCGTTGGGTTCTATTCAACCTGATCTCTATCAACGAAGGGACGGTCCAATTTATCTCAAGACTAACGGGTCTGTACATAGTACTTTCATTTAATATTTGTATTTTACGTATAAATAAGTACAGTTCTATTCATTTTATCGATCCGTAAGAATTAAACAATGCTAATGACGATGCATGGCCCCTGCGTAGAACTTATTGCATTAGAACTCTACTCTGTGTCTTCGTAGAAACCTCGTTGAATGCGGATGCTCCAAATTAATAGAAACTTTGAGGGCGTGTATTAACGTAGTAACAATCTCATTTGCCATTCTTACGTTACATCTCGTCTCGTACTTTAGAAACTTTACGAACGAGGATGTCTAAAAACAACCTACACCTGAACATAACACGTCTGTTCATAATTACCGCATAGTCGTAAAAAATTAGTTCTTCTTCTACAATACTTATATAATTAAAACAATAAAAAATAAAAAAAATAACTTTTTAACAATTATTATGTACGTCATTTTATAACGTTTACAATGTTCATTTATCGTTTCGCATTACCTACTGTCGTACGCTTACAACATACCTTCAGTTTGGTTTATTATTCGATGACCTACATACATTCCTGCCCGAGGGAGTCGTAGTAAGCAATCGAAAAATTGAATTATCGAATATCCGGGAAACGGAATATAACAGAAACCAGATATTTAGTTTGACTTCGATGAAAGACACGCCGATGACAAGTCCCCTTATCAATAATTAAGCAATACAAGTATGCAAATTCGTGTTTATTGTCAAACATACGCCTCGACGCGAGCGAGGATCGATAAAACAAAAGTATCTTGCGATTTTACCCTATTGATTTTTTAGTCGAAATCATTTGTTATTTGATTAAAATGTACATTAATTGAAACTTGAAAAGCGAAATTGAAATATGAAACGAGGCGAAAACTGAGTCTAAGGCCAGTTATTGAGTACTAAGAAATCAATAGGTCTTGAAATAACGCGCGTCGCCCTGTCGGTTGTAATTTCAGGAACGGAAAGAGTTTAGGTCGACTGCATTTGCGATTCAAATACGACTTCGATCGGTCGGATTTGCATGTACACCTGATCGAGGCGCATGATCTTGCTGGAAGTGATCAAGGAGGATTCAACGATCCTTACGTGAAGTTGACGCTCAGCCCCGAGGTGGATATGAGAAAACGGCAGACTCAGATACACCGTAACGAGGTGAACCCGTTCTTCGACCAGCAGTTCAAATTTCCTGTCAGCATCGATGAACTCCAGGACAGGATTTTAGTTTTACAGGTAATTCACAGGAAGACAGCCTGACGTTATCCTATTTGTTTTTTCAACTCTAATTATTTGCATTGTCACTTACGTTTTTTTAACACGCTTCGAGAAACATTCATTTTTGAACATTTCTTCACGTGATACTTAAGTCTCCAGATGCAACACAAGACGCTGATAGTTCTGTTGATTAAAATAACGTTGTTTTTAACGAATAATCAAGCGAGCTTTTGTTCGTTCAATAGGTGCTCGACTACGATCGTTTCTCCAGGAACGATGTAGTAGGTTCGGTAAAGGTTCCGTTGCACATTTTGCGATTAGACTCTCCCACCTCGACTGAAGAGGTTTGGGGAGAGATCGAACGAGAGCGGAAGCCTCCGGAACAAATCCAGGAAGTTCTACTGTCGTTGTCCTATCTGCCGAGCGCCGAGCGATTAACCGTTCTGATTCTGAAGGCGAGGAATTTGTTTCCGCCACAGGTAACAATCTTTGCATATACCTCTACCGTACGACGTATCCCTCACACCAACTTTACTTCTATTAATTTAGTACGAAAACATTGCTTCGTAATTTTCTCATCAATTTTCACCCGTTCGTAATTAATTTCGATTCGTATTAAAAGATTTGCTGATTACTGATTATATTACTCTTCATCGGATTTAATCTTAAATTGACATTTCACCTATCACTATATATCATCTTTTCATTTTATGAAATACATCGATGCGATATTGATATTGCGTAGAAAGAGAAAGAAACCTTAGATCCCTACGTGAAAGTAAATCTCCTTTGCGGCGAGAAGAAGGTGAAGAAGAAGAGAACCGCTATAAGGAAAGCGACGACTAGCCCTGTCTGGAACGAGGCGATGTCATTCAATATTCCTGCCAGTTCACTTGCGTCATCAGCCATTGAGGTAAATACATTTGAGTTTCTTTCGTTAGTTAATCAAGCCCTTCGTAGCGGGAAATAAATAATGTGTTTCATCAACTTAACACATTGTGGACCGACCGTAACGGACGGTCGTAAATAGTATATATAGTATGTAATAAAACTACTGTTCCGAATTGTGTTACAATTGGAAATCGCAAACTTCATTCTTATGAACGAAAGATAAACATAATTACAGTAGTTTCACAATTTTCCTTTTTCTTAAACTTTGACTTTGTAGTTTAGTTTAACTACCTGTAACACGTAGTTCAAGCAGAAAATTCCTTGAGCGTTTCATGAATGGAAGAAATCACAATTGCCTGTAAAATTATATTCGATCGATTCCACTTTTTCCACGAATTCCCCTTAAGGCTATGTGTATTGGCCATACAGTCATCCCAAAAGTTTATGCACTTTAGAAACGCATTTTTTAAAAAGAAATCAGACGTCGGAAGAACATTGCTAATAATAAACAACAAAAAAAAATTTCGATTTTTCCGAGATTTTTCCAAGGGGTATCCCTTCAATTTCTTCTAAATTTTCGTTTTTGGCCAATAAATCCCAAACCGTTGGAAATACGGAAAAATTGCATGAGACCTTTCTTGTAGAGGATAACGAGATCTACAATTTCCATGTAAAAATATTTCGCTAGCATCAATAGTTAACAAGTAATTTGCAAAAAACTGTTTTTTCGTTTTTCGTCAATAACTCGTTAAATATTAATGCTAGCGAGAAACTTTTATATGGAAATTGTAGATCTCGTTGTCCTCTATAAAAAAGGTTATATGCAATTTTCCCGTAGAACCAACGGTTTAGGAGTTATTGAGGAAAAACGAAATTTTTTTCCAAAAGTTCGCCATTTCGACGGTGGGATGGTCGGATTTTGTCAACATGAATAAAATGCAAAATAATCATACGTAACTCGTTAAATATCGAAGTTAGAAGGAAAACAACTTTTCTTTGAATCATTTTTCGCAATTTTGAAAGAAAAAGAAAAATTTTCGTCAGCGTCAATACTTAATTGGATATTTCCTTCTATACTTTCTAGCACGTAGCTATTTATTATTAGCATTATTCTTCCGACGTCTGATTTCCTTTTTAATTATAGGAAATGCGTTTTTCTAAGGTACATAAACTTTTGGGATTGACTGTATAGCCAATACATCCGTTAAAGAGAGTAACTACTTCTCTCGTGCATAATTAACTCGGAAATGGTTCTCGATATTGAAGTCAAGACGGTTTGACTTTGAGACAATCAGATTTCGTACCAACTAATACTCCGCTATAAAGTGTCACTTACATCGGTGCTGCGACATGCTCCCATTTTTTATTGAGATTTGTTAAAATCAATTATTGATGTTTCATAACGTTCAGTGATCACGCAATATTATAA